TTTGGATACGAGAATGAATAAAAATAGGTTCGGGGTTCATAAGACTAACCTTATTTGCCTATTACAATGATATTTGAAATGCTAGGCGGCAATGTAATCCAACTCCAAGCACAAATCGACGACCAAAATACTTGGAATGCAAAAGTATTGAAAATACTTACTAGGGGTGAATTTTTGAAGGTTGTTATCGGGGAAAAGTGAAGACTTCAAAACTTTAAAACCTTTGGCTATTAATACCCATCCAGTTCGCGTCCGTTCGGCGACGTTAGTCGCAACCGCCGATCCACTCAACGACGCGCCGAGTTATTACTTACTTCGCCGAGTTTTACAGGACCTCCAGTCAAAGTGAGGGGCCAAATGGCGGTCTCCATCGGGATCACCGACCTAATCGGCGATGCGCCGAATGGAACATTTTCTCGCCAACCTGCACATATCAACACTTTCCATACTCAAACTTACAACATCAACACAACATTATTTCTAAACAAAATTAAATCATTTAAGGGTTTTGGGTTGCCTCCTAAACAACGCCTTAGTTAACATCGTGGCACGACGCGGGTTAACACCTAGATTTCACTTTTGGGGTTAGCCAAAACATCACTTGGCAACCCCCTGCTTTGTGCCGGATGGAGATGAGGCATCACATGACCCGTGAGGTTCTCGAGCAGCTGAATGGATCTGGAATGAGAACCAATCATCTGTTTCATCAATTTGATGTTCTTTTTCACTTCTTCCAGCACCCTATCATGCTCACTTACCTTGTTGAGAATGATTGAGAGCATTCCTTCAACACATTTACCCTCATTATCCTTGTGCTTTCTTCGCTCATGAGGGGGAACATATCTATCCTTCCTTTTGCATTGGACTTCAATCTCCACTATCTCTTTGGCCAACTCATCCATTTGAGTCATCAGTGTTGCCAACATGAAGTCATTCTCTACTTCTTGGTTTGCTTCAGCCATATGATCAAGCAGGTGGGTTGCTTCAGCCATATGATCAGCCAGGATTTAGGGTCACTTGTACGGTTCCCTATATGGTCCTTGGTGACCTATACGGTCCATTTAGGGACATATATACGTCACCCGTCAACTTTTAAGTTAGGGTCATTTTTGTCTTTCCCCTATGTGTTTGGTACCTAAGCTATGCCGTTTTAACCCCTATTTCAAGACATATATAAGTGATTTAAGTCCTTAAACTACCCATTCTAAATCATTCACCTAATTCCTAAATTTCTCTTCAAGATCACCCCCAAAATCCTCTTTAAGGCTAAGGAATAAAAAGCTAGGATTTCACTTCAAGATTCTCAATTCACCATAGTTATTTAGCCTTGATCACTAAGGTATGTTAGTATTCACCTATGAAGTCATTTCCTCCATAAATTTCCTAAAATCTCCAAGTCTTACAAGTTAGGTTCTCCATTCAAAGTTATGGTTTTATTCAATCTTCATGTGTCCTTTTCAATTATGATTCAATTACTTGTTTCCTATCTTCTAATGCATGAATTGAAAGTATTTACATGATTTTGAGTTGAATTCATATGAACCCATACATGATCCATGATTTTAGACTATGAACATATGATGAAGCTTATGAACTATGAAATATGAATTTATGAAGATACGCATGTTTTTATGAAGTTGATGTAAATGATTTAAGGATGATTTGAGAGTAATGTATCAATGTTGTTATTGTGAAAGGCTTTCTCACATACTACTAAGAATATGATTGTGAAATATTTTCTCACATAAGGATTCATAAGGTTGAAAGGTTTTCTCACCTAAGTTGAATCAAGTATAATAGATATTCTAAATGACTTTAGTTTGGATTGGTTGTTTAATTGTGTCTTTCCATGGATGATGAAATAAATATGATTAATGATTATTCCGTGGAATTTATACTTAGCACCGATAGGATATTGTGATAGAGGCTCTCCTGTTAGTAAAGACCGGGTCTATAGTAGCAATCTCCTTGTCCCATAACTATGTGCCACCATAGGATTGTATCAGATAGACATTAGCTAATTGATCCACTTTAGCTCAGACTCATGGTTCTTACCTTGGCAAGTAAGGACATCCATTTTCGGTGTGGGACAGACAATGGATTTCATGTTATAGCTCTAATGGTCTATGTCGCTTATATGTTGAACTTCCCACAATTATGAACTAAAGTTTCTTTTAAAGTATCTCACAAGTGTTTTAAAGATGTTAAGGTTGCATTGGACATGATTATGAATTATGTTTTCTAATCTTTTTTTTTATGATTTAACTTGTTCATTGCATGTCACGTAAAGTCCTTTTAGCATAATTTCATAACTTATGCATTGTTATCATACTCATGTACTAGTGCATACTTATGTCTACATTGTTCACTAATGTAGGGTCCAACGCTCCTACCTCTCAGACTCGTGGCTAGTTAATCCATTTTACATTTGAATATTGGTGAGTCCTTATGATCCGAGGGCCGAGACACCTTTATAGCTTTATGTCATTTCAGTTTTCAGAGTTTGTACGTATGTATGAGTTACGTCTCAACCACTTCCTTTGATGTAGTTGATGACTTATTAAGGCTTATGTTAGACTTCCACTTTGTGAAACTCTTTCATGATATAAGACTGGTTCATTTGAAATCTTTATTCTATTATCTTGTATGATGTATGCTAAGTGGCTTGTGTAGGGCCTCTCAGGGTTCTATACATCATGTTACGTCTAGGGTATACTTTGGGTCGTGACAGTATATGGAATGAAAAATCTTCACACCTTTATCCTAACACTACGCCAAGTGCCACCCCATTGGCATCACACATAACTTCAAACAATTGTCCCTAATCCAGTGAAATAGTGATGTGTGCAGAAATCAACTTCTCTTTCAACCATTCAAACTCCTTAAAACAAGCTTTATCAAACTTGAACTTCATTCTCAAGAAACTTTCATAATGGGTCCACTATTTTGGAAATTTTTTTTGATAAATCTTTGATAATATCCAACATGTCCTAGAAAGCTTCTAACACCCTTTATAGAGATATGTGGGGGTAATTTTTCAATTACCTCAATTTTAGCTTGATCAACTTCGATGCCTTTATTGGAGATCTGAAGACCAAGAACTATGCCTTCTTTTACCATGAAGTGACACTTCTTCCAGTTTAGCACAAGATTGCATTCTTCACACTGTTTAAGTGTATCACCAAAATGGGCCAATCAATCATCAAACGAGTCACCTACTACATAAAAATCATCCATGAATACCTCAATAGTGTCTTCCACCATGTATGAGAATATGGACATCATACAACGTTGAAAAGTTGGTGGTGCATTACACAACCCCAATGACATCTTCTTGACTGCAAATGTCCTATATGGACAAGTGAAAGTGGTCTTCTATTGGTCTTCAAGGGCAATATAAATCTGATTGTAGCCTAAATATCCATTGGTATCATCTTTTACCAACTAGACGAGCTAACATTTGTTCCATGAACAGAATTGGGAAGTGATCTTTCTTTGTCAATGCATTCAACTTGCGATAATCCATGCATACTCTCCAACAAGTACTGACTTTATAGGTATGAGCTCATCCTATGCATTGTGAACCATACACTCAACAACTGTATCTATCAGGAACTAAAATATAATTAAAATTGGCATAATTATGTATAAGATACATAACAATAAAAAAGATTCATACTGATTTAGGTTTGAAATAATAGGATTATATATAAATAATAATATTTGTATCAAATACATTGTACACAAACAAAGTTGTAATGTATTTGATAGTTGAAACATAAACATGAAACATCAGTAAGCACACGATTAACAGTTCCATAACATCGGAGAAACTATAAGCCAGAACTCCGGTAAACATCTCAGTCACCACACACCCAAGTACCCATATATCTACTGGAATACCCTGTTCGTCGTTGGTGACCATCTCCGATGACATGTACAATAGGGTACCCCTCAATTCACATCTCAAATCATCATCTTTTTTCATTCCAACTCTCTTTGCCAAATCAAAATCAGTTATTTTTACCTTACCATCTTCACCCAGAAGAATATTTTGAAGATTAATATCGCAATGAAAACAAAAAAGATGATGAAGAAATTTTCCTACCTATTTTAGATTTGAAATTGATGAAGAAAACTAGAAAAACACAATTGTAGTTCAAAAAATCCAAGTTTAAAGAAATCGTTGATATATGGCCCCTAATTTTGGCGTGAATTTAGGGGAGTTAAGCATGAAGTAGGAAGGGAGAGGGATATGTATCCGAGATTAAGAGATAGATAAGGAAAAATGAGATTTTTGTAATTTTTTAAATGGTAGGAAATTTTAGAAATTATGGTAACATAAGATATATATTTAGGTAATTTTTCCTAAAATAAAATTTGATGTCACCAGATTAGGTATGTGCTACCTGGGTGCAGGACGGGCGTTCCCTCATCTAGTGTGTGTATATATATATATATATATACGACTTAAGATATATAATATCTAAAATTCCTACTATTTGAATTAGTTACAAAAATCCTCCATTTGAATTAGTTACAAAATTCCTCTTTTCCTTCTCACTCTTAACATCCGAATACATCACTTCACATTTATCAGATACATTACAACTTTATTTGTGTATAATGTATCTGGTACAAATGTTATTGTTGATACATAAGCCCAATTATTTCAAACCTAAATCAATATGAATCTAGTTTATAGTCATGTAACTTATGTATCGTTTACTATGTATCGGGGGAAGGAGCAATCTATCCGAAAATTCAAAAAAATTATAGTTTGAATAACTTTGAAGATAAGATGTAATTAGCGCAAATTTTTTTGGAGTTTTTGTACCTTATACTAAAAGAAATTCTTGTACCGGTATTACCCAATTGGGCTGATGAATATTCTATATGCCCAAATGATATCCCTTATTCAAATGGGTGCCCAATTCCAAAAAGGGTACAATACTTGCTAATTAAGATGAGCCATGTGGCCGTTGAAGAAGAATATACAGAAACATGAAAGAAGGCAATAGAAAAAACAAGAACGTATCCTCCTCCCCAAAAAGAACCCGACCCGCTAGTCTATCAGGACCCGATTCTAGACCTTCAGGTTCACGCCATACGAGGCTATCTCCTCCTCCTTCGGTGTCAGTGCTTGACGGTGAAATCATCACTGAAGAGTTGGGTTTGCTTGAAATTTCCCCCAAGACCAACCCAAGAAGTTTTCCGTATAGTATTAAGCAGCAGTGTTGGGACAAGGCGGAGAAAGTGAAGGGAAGAGACCCGGACCGATGGCGCCGAGACCCATTGGGGAACACAATCTTTCGGAAGCTTGTCGGCTGTCCTGGTTGTCTCTGCCATGACTATGACCATATTATTCCCTATTCTAAGGTACTTTTTCATTCTTTTTTATATCAAGTTTAGGAAGATTTGATGGATAATGGAACTGCCGGAGTATGTTTCAAAGCTTATAAGATGGACAATTTCTGTACTGGAAGAGCGTTGTATGAACAAAGAAGCCAAACTGTTGCCTTTATAGACTATTTATAGAGCTGAACCATACAAGTTTGGGATTGAGGAGTAGTTAACTATGTATAAGCTTTGTTTAAAATATTGAGTTTTGATGCTGTTCGCTGATTGGGTTTAACTAGAAACAGCAGGTTTTGGGTATTTCAACATACTTGTTTTCATGCTACTGTTTGTTCAAGAAGCTTTGATTTTTGTGTTTATGATGAATGACATTATAGTAGATTTAATCGTTTAACGATGAGAGAAAATATGTATTGATAACTTGATGATATGTATGAATACAGGACACACCTATTGGCTATTAATGCAACACATGCATTAGATTTGTATATTATCAGAAAATATCCAACTTATCAAAAGCTGCCCAAATATTGCTTTTCGTGGAACAGTTTCCAATAAATGTGCTAGAAATTTTTGTTTGTCCAAATTTAACTACAAAGATGGAGAAGTGGGGTGAACAATGACTAAAATGCAGGTGCAAATAGTTCTGGAAAGACGAGGTGTCGCTGGAAAGTCATTTGAAAGTAGTATCATTTAAGATTGGTAAAACGCACACCTTAGTGATGAAGCCAGGCACGGGGCTGATTGATGCTTCATCTTGCTTAAGTGGGCTTCTGGCAAGCACCCAAGTGTTAAGGTGTGTGTTCTATTACCCATGGACTAGTTTTGAAGAGTATGCCACTAACAATAAATAGAGCTTGCAAGGATGTTTTTAATTGATAGTGGTTAGTTATGAGTGAATATGCTAGTAATTAGGAATCTAAGATTAGAAATCTAGCATGAGAAAACTAGTTAGTAACTTTTAATAAGTGACAAGAACTGCACTTTTCATCTGAAAACCAATAAAAAAGTGATATTGAACTTGATTGACATGTCTTTTCAAGGCTCAATTCCAAGTCAGTTGGGTCAGCTATCACTGATCCAAAAAATGTCGGATTGGCATCATGAATCCTTTCTTTACATTCTAATATTTTGATAATTTGTCATTGCCAGACTATTTCTGCACTAACCATCAGCCTATTCAATAATCTTTTGTTCGGGTTTTGGTATCTGCTATTCTTGTAATATGCAGATAGACACAGTTTGATGATATTATTTTACTTCATAATTCTTGCTCTTTTAATTATTTTTCCATATAATTGTTGCTTCTTGTATTTATATATATTATCATTCGTTGCATATTTTAGTTCTTTTATATAGAATCCCAGTAGATTGTAGAGCTTTCTACACTTTCATCCTTGACAACATTGTCAGAAGGGGACAGTGTATTGTTAGAACGACTAGTGAAAATTAGCATGGCGTGTCCCAAACGACCATAGGCAATGCACTGAGTGTTACTGAGTCAGTCATTGAAAATAAGCGCCACATCGTAGAAGGGTCACCGGCAATAAACATACTCCCTTTGCAAAGATCACTGAGAATTGGCATAGTACCATTTGAATTGGGACTGTAGATAGAAGTGTGCCGCTTGAATGGTAGAATCTACTTGATCCTCTGCCAAAGCCTTAGAGGCTCAGATAAACTTTGAGATAACTATGGAAAGGAAGAGATATATTAATAACATGATGATTTGGTAAACACTAAACATACTTTTTTGTAGTTTGTGGTTTGTCATGCACAATGTAAATGATATTCTAACTTTAACATACTAACAAATTAGAGCTTCGAAGAAGTCCACTAGTCCTTTTGTGGAAAAGAAAAAGAAAAGAAGATAATTTAGCGGGACAGGCTCATAAGAATGCCGCTAGATATAAGTGAAAGTTATTTGAGTGTCTATCACGATAGTAGAGGCTCTGATACAATGTGAGTAAATAAGAGAGATATTTTGATTAATGAATGCAAGACACCTGTTTCTATGGTTCACACAAGACACGTGATAATTTGGCAATACAAGGAAATATCTAACATAAACTTAATACTTCAAGCATTCTGACAATTTTATTAATAATCCTTAACAATTACATTTACAAACTCAAATCTCTATGCCCAAATTTTCATTTTGGAACTTGTTCCTCGCTCCTGCAGGAAAAAAAGGAAAAAAATGAAATGTTAATACATACCACTCATACAAGCCTGAATTGGTCATTTTCATAAAGCGTATGACCTTGATCTTTAGCTTGTTATGACAGATCTCATTTCATTGGCAGGATGGTTATGCTAATCTGTAAAAGACATCCTTGGTGTGGACTGCATGATGAGAACTTGATAAACTTTCTTGATAAAATGAACAGTCCATTATCTGTGAAAAAGAAATAACTGAACAGTTCATTTGGTGATCTTGATTATTTTGCATGTCCTCTTCATTTAATCAGACTTGTGATTGAAGAAATACTCAAAATTAATTGAGACACATTAAAAAGGAGTATAGTTATCTTTTCTTTCCAATGATTCTGGTCAGTCTTAATTGATTGGGACTTCGTTAAACTTAGTAATAGCAAAGAAGAGGATGAAGAAGTGAAAAAAGACTAGATTGTATATGATAAGATTGAGAGACAGATCAGTACTTATATAAGTTACAAACATGCTCAATAAAGTACATATTTAAACAGTAAGTGGCTCCACTTAAGAGCTAGTAGTTGCTAAACATCTTCATTTCTGTTCTTTTTTCCTTTCCTTTTCTCTTCTTCTTGTGGGGGATTGAGAGTGTGGCAAGTGCTAAACTTGCTATGAAATTGTTTTATATTTTATAATGCTCTATATGACAAATTCTAACCTTAGTGTCGCATCACACCATTAGTTTCAATCAAGCTTTTCAAATTTTGGAATCTTCTTTCATTTCTCTGGGTATGTTAAAAAATGTCTATACTTTTTGAAGTTTTCTATTGTTAAGAAATGTCTGCTCCTAGAAAAGATTACCCTCATCTTGATGTTCTGTTTTAACTACCAAATTCCAAAAGTAGACATTTGATTGAGTTCATCTGTTTTAAATATTTTGCAGGGTGGAGACAGTACACTAGAGAATTGTCAAGTTTTGCAGGTGAGATTTTCTCTCTGATAGAACATCTCTGTTTGTGCTTGCTGTGGAGTATCTTGAAATTTCCTTGCTGCATTATCGTATACTCACGGTTTCCTGTTATTGTGTGATTTGTTTTCAGTTAATCTGTCTTTAATTCATAGTATGTGCTACTTTAGAAGACATTATTTCATTAATATTTGAAATATATTCTACATTATCTTTCAAGAATACAAGGAGTGTTAAGACTACTTAGGGATTATGTATGTTGTGCCTTTATCTCCTTAATCATCTTGATGCTTGGTTCTCCATCTTTATCGATGTTCTCTGGACGAGTTATTACTCCCTCCTGACGACTTTTATCGTCCTTATTAAAAATAAATTATCATGTTAACCAAAAATGCAACAAGTAAATTGGACCGCAGGGAGTATCTTTTACTGCTCCATAGTGATTGCTACAAGTGTATCTGTTCCATTGATCCAATGTTGATCTCAATATCGACATGGAACTTTGGTGCCTTGCCTTCACTCCCTCCTCTCCTTCACCCAAAGGGATGGAGTGGGGGAGCAGAAGAGAAAAGAAAGGGTTATGCTGCTTATGGAGAAAGTTGAGGGAAGAAAATGGGGAATCTATGTTAGATAATTGATGGAAGGAGTGTCTTCATGCAGGCGACAGTTAATAGATCGAAGGGGAATCGAACTGATATATCAAAAGCTGAACTCATTCAAAGAAGTTCGTATTGTCGGGTTTCAGGTTAGATGCATTCAGTCTTGTGTTCAAGTATTTGGCAGTCTAGTTTATGAGATTATCTGTGATAATATTAACGTTTTAAAACTATATCCAGGTCGCGACATGGATCTTCTTGAACTTTCTGCCTACGGCAATGTCCGTCATGGACAAGATTCTGGGGGATGTAAAATTCAGTGAGTTATTTTACGACAATATACTCAAGAATGACATTGTATGCTTCCCCTTAATTATCAGTATGACACTAGTTATTCCTCTATTAAATTTGTAGCTTACAATTATTGGAAGTTTCATATGCTTGTATGCATGATTTTCTTGGGCAATCGTAATAGAGTTACATCATAAATTCTTATATATATATATATATATAGGAGTTAAAGCTGCAGAAGTTTGTACATATGTAAATCAAATGGAGTCTTATTAACTATGTTATTAGGTTATGTACCACTGCTAAAGCACCACAAATTTCTCGCTTTCCACATTTGCCATAAAAGAGACTCAATTTAAATAGCTCAATGAATTCTGGATATGGACTTGTATAACAAAGTTGTCATTTCATCATATTGCAAAATTCATAACATTTTTTAAATTAGGCCAATTGATAGGAGTCAACTTCCACACTAATTGAGTTTTCGGACAACTAAAAAATATATGGTCAATTATTTTAGTTAGGGGTGAACAAAATTGAACCAAAAATCGCACCAAATCACAAATTGAAAAAAAAATCGACTAGTAGTTTGGTATTGAAGAAATTTTTTTTTGACTATATTGGGTTGATTTGGTTTTTACTTTAAAAAGTCGATTTGAGACCAAACTAACCTGACATAATATATATATATATATGGAATTTAAAAAAATTATTTTATACATTAAACTTTTAAAGTCTTTATTTTGATATAATTTAGAAATATTTCTTATATACTTTTTCATAAATTTTATCTTTTAACAAAATATTTCAAGTTTGACTTAAAATTTTGAATAGTCCAATAAAGGTTATATTCCATAGATATTAGTAAATTCTAATGAAGCTCAATCAAAATCAAATCAATACTATTGCTAACAAAAAATATCAACTCAAATACTAAGAATGACAATAATGTTGAATATTTGTTCTTCAATTATATATTGGCTTAGAATAATTAGACTTATTTTAACATGATTTATACTTTAAAACTATGATCATTTTCATTTTGACTTATTTATTTGCAATATCTGTTTTATGTGATTTCATTATTATTTTGTATATTTTACGGTCATCATTCATATTATATTTTGTGTTATTTTCTTTAGAAAAAAATACCTTTAATAATTATATTTTGGTAAGATTAAAGAAATATTTAAAACACAAGTTAATTATATGTTTGTATGAATACTTTACCGAAAAAACCCGAAAACTCGAAAAATCTAGAAAAAAAAACCGAAAAAGTTTCTAGATTGAAAAATTCAAATTTATTAATTTGATTTGATTTATAGATTAAAAAATTCAATACAAATAATTTAATTTGCTATTTTAAAAAAATCCAAACCAATTAAGTTCATGTACACCCCTAATTTTAGTTTCTAAATCACAGACCCTGCAAACATCACAATTTGGACGCAATCTCTTAGAAATGTACTATAGTTAACAGGAAGGACAAAAAGAATGGAAAATGTTTTTTTGTTTTTTTTTTTTGTTTTCAGTGACCATCAAAAACTTCAATTTTTTGGAAAAGATTGACCACTGACTTGAGGTCTTAGAGTTCTAGAGTTAATACCATTATCTAAAATTTATTCATCCAATTCGTCCGATAAGTAGCCGTAAAATAAATTCACCTTGACCATTGAGTTATTGAGTAAAAAGTCTATATATTACCTTAAAGGCTTAAATTTATAGTATAACAAAGTAAATTTCAAGTATTAGCTTAGAGCTCATATTTGATTTATATATTTATATTTAATGTACGAATTCGGGGTTCATCCCTCAATCAAGCGCTACTTAAAAGTCAGGATAGATTTATTTTCGATTATTAGTCAAGTCATTAATAACAAATTGAATACGATATTATTCGTTAATTGCATTAAAAGTTTTACTAATGCCTAAATTAAGATAATATGAGTGTGTACTCAGAGTTTTCAAATCTTAAATTAGCTTTTGCGTGTAAGTTTAAGCTCCTCTCCATATTTTATTACTCCATTTCAAGTTGGGTCCAAATCATGGTTAAAATAATAGATATTTCCATATATTTGCTCCGAATTTTGTAGTACTACCAAAGTGTTGTAACGTGTCACTTATCTTACACATAAATAATATATTTTGTTTACATAATAAGATTTTCAGAGAAAACAAAACATTGGCTCATTCAAAGCCGATTCAACAAGACTGGGGCCTAAAGTGAAACCTAAGAGAGGGGCCCTAATATTTTATTTTTTTCATCATATATATTTTTATTTAAAACCTATCTTTTTAGTTTTTTTAGATGTGAAGTCATTAGTTACTGTTTTATAATCGATTTGTTTTATTAATTCATTTTCAATTGATAATATAGTTAATCTATTCAATCAGTTCTCTTGAGACATTGTTGATCTTAATTAAGATTTAATCAATGTTAGTTTCGAGAAACTCTTCAGCTTAGGTGACAGTTACATGAACTTTTAACATTATTCTATAAGAAATATGTGGATTTGAAAAAGAATCGAGTCTTTTTTTTATTGAATATTTTTTTTAGATCATTATCTTCTATTTGTATTATTTCTCTTAATACTTTTAATTCAAAAAATAATCTAAACCATCAGTATCATAATAACTATAATGTGTTAAAGAAAGTTCAAGGTTAAGACAATGTCTTTTTTAAATTCTCATCATCTAGTGATCTCAATTTATCACTAAATAAGAAATCAAAAATATTTTTATATGCTTTAATTGGTTCAAATCTATTTTGAAGTGAAAAAATAACTTGATGTAATATATATATATAATGGGACTTTATGATTTCGTTATCAATATTTTCATCATATTGTTTCTTACGAAATTCAGGTTCTATATTCATCTCATCTGCAATTTCCTTGGTAGAAATCATAACACTCATCGTACATATAAATTTTTTCTAAAAAAAAATAACATTTATAGTAAAACAAAATTTAAAAATTAGAGACCCCAAAAAATATAGGACCCCAAGCGATGACTTTAATGACATAGGGGTTAAGACGGACCCGGGCTCATCAACCAAATAAAAACATTTATTTCATAGGTTTGTGTGGAACAATTGGTCAAATAGTATATGATAATTTCTTCTTCCAAAAGTTAAACGTTTTGTAGAACATGAAGGTGTAATGTGTCTAGAAGCAAGAGATTAAAAATGGAGTAATTAAAGGATTGATTAAGTAGTAGAGTCTTACCCGACAACACGTATATCATGTGCACAGTGACAAGTACTAATTAATGAGCATTTTGTGTGGATATATAAAGCTACCTATAGGCTATACTTGCAAAAAAGAATTGAAAGATGGAAAGAATTATTACAAGTGACTATTCCACTTGTAATTAGATAATGTAAACCACACCATTCATGTCAAAGTTCATGCATCAATCTTGAAATGATTATAATATTTTTGTGTTTTTTTTCATTCGATATCCGATATCCTTATTGAAGCTCGATTAAATTTAGATTCACGCTGGAAAGTCGCATATTAGGGGATAAGCACTCCCTAACAAATGTAACTCTATATCCAAAGGACTCAAACCCAAAAATTCTGATTAAAAATAAATGAGTAGTTATCACTCCACCATAATCTTGTCGGTATTTTTGTGTCTTGAAATGATTCATTATATGTTCCACTAAGGCTTGACTTATATTGAGACACATCATTATTACTTGGTAACCTTCCACTACCGCAGTGTGCTCATCCTTGTTCCCCATTTTGACTTAATAAATTTTCTCATTGAACCTACCACTTCAACCTAAATTCCATTCTCTCTCTTAGCCTTACTTTATTTATATAAATATATATAATCTTCAAGTTTCATATCAATGGTTCACACACACATTATCTTTTATCAAGTCACTCTATAACATATATTCAGAAAATTATTAAGATAATCTGATAAATTCTTATAATAAACATATTAGTAATTAAAATGCTAAAAATAATATAATTTTGTTGGTTTTTTTTAATCAAATGGAATAGCAAAAAAAGGTTAAAAATGTCTCTCTATAATTATCTTTAAATAACCAGCTTAAACATAAAATCTGTCAAATTTAAAATTCAAAAAACCTAAAATATCTCAACAAAGCTAACAATACTTTGTGATTTGTTAGTATACACACATATAGTATATCTTAATTATAATATATGTATTGGCAAATAGTGCACATCTTTGAATCATAAGATATTAGCTAGAGTCACCTTTTTTACTTTAATTTGTGATTTGATTGCCGCAAGCAATAGGTACACTCAATCTCAAAGTGCTTTATATATTTTGTATATATAGAATGAATGAATGTATAAAATGGGGCACTAATCTCAAAACACTTGATTAATTAGGAAAATGGCTGCCACTTTGTTTCTGGCTTTTCTTTGTTTTTCTCAAGTTATCTACTTGAATGCCATCCCAATTACAAGTAAGTAATCATATTTCAACTTATTTAACATCGATCAATATATATTATTTTTTGATGGTTACGTTGAATATACTTATTTTCGTTGTTAGGATGCAATAGTTTGGTGTACAAAACTCAACAACATGAGAATACACAAATGGTAACTACTTGTCTATCTTCTTTCTTTCATTCAAGCAAACATCACTTCTTTCATAATTTCTTGTTTTTTTTTTGTCAAATATTTATTAGGAGAATATGGAGGTTGAGAGTATGAAACTAGGTGATGCCGTCATTAGAAGAATGGATGTTGAGGTCAACGACTATCCAGGTTCTGGCGCGAATAATCGCCACACTCCGGGCCACCCCTAGAGATATGATGGATGTGTGTTCACGATTAATGAGTATGATCTTATTATATGTACACATACTTAATGACTTTTGCATATGTATGTATGCATATATAGTTCAAGCTGAGAGCAATGCGTTCACCCACAATCTGGCCTCAGGCTAAATATGTTGAGTGTGTTAGTAATAAGTAGTGATAGATATGTGTGCTTTAGATGTTTAGGAGTACTGTGTTATTATGGAAAGCTAATAATTAAAGGGATTCATCTTTTCTTATATACATAGTACTTGTGTTTATTATGAGAATTTTTGAGGATTAACTACCTTCATAAGCTTTATCTGGCTGGATCTTATTAATTAATCATGCGAGGAACGGGAATGAGTTAATTTATTAATTAAAGAGGAACTTTAACATATAGTCACTCAAAAATAGCCTAATTATACTCTATAGCTATAGTTTGTTAATTACGATTTGTAGCTACATGTTATAGGGAGGAGAGTGGCGAGCGAGAATGGGAGAGGGAGGAGAGAGGCGAGCGAGAGAGGGCAGAGAGTGGGAGAGAGGTGAATTGTATATGTATATCGGTTAGATAATTGTATATTATACATATGTATTTGTATATTCTGGTGAGAGAGATTGAGAAAGGGGGGAGAGAGGCGAGCGAGATTGGGAGAGGGAGGAGAGAGGCGAGTGAGAGAGGAGAAAAAATTATATAATTCACATCTCGTTTGTATAATTCGCAAGTACGTTTGTATAATTCACATATTTTTTGTATAATTGGGTAATATAAAGTCTGGAATTATATAAATATAATAAAACTTGAAATAACGAATTGATACAAACATAAACGTATGGACTTTAAACAATTATACAAAATATATTATACAAATTATATTATACAAAATCCAAAAACTACACGTTTATACAAACATTTAAAAGTTATACACAAAAAGATTGAATGTATATGATGACAAAACTGAAAAACCAAAGGAATCATCGTCATATACAAATACAAATAATCGTATACAAATACAAATCAAACAAAGAATTGTTAGCTGCGAATTATACATATACAAACGTGGATTATTATACAAACTCGAAGTCAACCCACGTAATTAATGTATAATTTTAGTCGTGAGTGGTAATTATAGCAAACTATAGCTATGATGAGTAATTAAGTAGTATAAATTTGTTTGACCGCGTAATTTTCTCTTAATTGTAAATTAGTATCCCAAAGATTAATTGGAGTTCATTTCTCTACTTTTTGTCTCTTTATATTTTAATTTTCATTACTTTACCTATCAATAAAAAATAGTACAAGTGTCAAATAGGTAGGTTGGATTGAAATTGGGTGGATCAATTAGCTGAAAATGTAGGTTATAACCCAATGCGCCCTATTCTTACTGTTGATTTTTTTAAAGGGTAAAACATGTATTACATATAAGAAAGGGGAATAGCACATGCCTCTCTGTCAATGCATGTGCTTCCCTGAAAATAACATTGAACTCGAGGGGCATTTCATACATTCCAGGATTACATGTTTATCTTTCTGTTGCCTCAACCTTAACGCCTCCTTCTATGTAAAGCACCGCCACACACCTCCATTTCCACCTCTATTCTCTCATCTTCCTCTCCAATTCTGTTTGTGTTTTAGCGGAGTTAGTATCTTAGTTCTTCACTGATTTTAACAACACCTTCGTCACTTCGTCTTTTTATTGAAATAACATGTTCCCTATTTCTACTAATTGTTGTAAGTGTCATTATGATGTAGTGAACAAAATTAGTTACAAATGTTTATAAAGGTAGTTAGATAGAACCTTCTAGAAGAAGATTAGTTGGACCTATATGTACTAAGCACCAATTGTACTTGACGTAATTTTTCCATATTCAATAAAATAGTTCATCTATCTTCTCTTTCTAATATGTTTGTAATAGCATAGGGAATTCATCAATGGTGGACATATCCACCATGGATTCTACATACAGAGCTCAAAATTAACATGGTATCAGAGCGGTGATCTCACGTTCAGCTGAGCTTAGAGTTTGAGTTCATCGCATCAATTCGTTTAGTACACTAATGACGGGAGAACAATCTACTGCAGAAATGAAAGTTCCAGCTACAACGATAATCGATCATCATCATCCTTTCTATCTTCAAGTTTTTGATTTTCCAAGCTTAGTAATAATTTCGATCAAACTCACAAGACCAGAGAACTACTCTTTGTGGAGCAGATCGATGAAACTAGCACTGCAAGGCAAAGGAAAGCTTGGGTTTGTGGATGATAATTGCACGAAGAGTAAGTTTAAAGGAGAACTAGAAGAATTATGGGAAAAGTGTAAAGCAATTGTGTTGTCATGGATCGGCAGTACTGTTTCTGCTGATTTGATACCAAGCATAGTTTATGTTTCAAATGCTAAGAAGATATGGGACGAATTCAAGGAGCGTTTTGATAGATCAAATTTGACGAGGATCTACTATTTGTGGGCAAAAATTGCAAATTTGAGATAGGGAACTGACTTCTGTGACAAGCTATTACTCTAAAATGAAGGATCTATGGAACGAACTTGATGTAATGGTTCCATTACCTTCCTGTGATTATGAAGAGTCTAATGCTTATATGGACCATTTGAAATCACAACGATTGTTGCAGTCCTTATGGGCCAGAATGAGAGTTATAGCAACCTGAGGAGCCATATTTTATCTCGCAATGCAAATGTGACTGTCAATGAAGCTTATGCTACCATGGCTCAAGAGGAAAGCCAAAAATCATTAGGAGAGGTTGATGCTCAGAATGATCATTTGACTATGACAATAGGAAGGGCTCAAGATTACATATCTAAAAGACCAGGAGGTCATGGAGGGTCTGGAGGAGCTGGGAGAAGCCATGAAGGGTCTGGAGGAGCTGGAATACCTTGTATCCATTGTGGCTACAAAGGTCATCTAAAGGATGATTGCTACAGGGTATTTGGCTACCCTTCAGACTTCATAAGCAGGAGGTAAGCTTCACAACAAAATCAACAAGCACAACCCAGTTAAAGCAAATCTATAGCCAACACTAGCACCAGTACCAAATCAGGAGTTCCACAAAGAACTGGCTCAAATGATTCTTCCAGTTTAGGATAAGGTATACATTCTTCATTATCAAATGTTTTTGCATATGAGTGGATTGTTGATTCTGGAGCTTCTCACTACACTACACCTTGTAAGGATCTGCTGATATTAGAAAACTAGACAACCATCTTAGTGATAAAGTTCAGGTACCCACTGGTGGGAGATCTCAGATCACAAGTGCAAGGAATGCTATTATTTTTGGAACATAAAAAATACAGAATGTTCTACATGTTCCTGATTTCAAGTGTAACCTTCTCTTAGTGTCTAAAATAATAGAGGACTTGTCATGTGTTGTTCTATTCTTTCCTGATTTTTGTGTCTTTCAGGGACTCTACAATGGCAAGGTCTTTGGAATTGGTAAAGAAAGGGAAGGGTTGTATCTCTTAAAGGAACATGTCGCTCCTACTACAAATGTTGTCAGTTTCAAACACCAAGCAGAAGGTGTTCTTTGGCATCTCAGATTGGGCCATCCATCCTCAACTGTGATGCATCACATTCCTTCTATCTCCAAATATGTTAGCAATAATATCCAAGACAAATGTCATATTTGTCCTCTAGCTAAACATCATAGGTCCAACTTTCCTACTAGTTCTAGTATGATACTTGCTTGTTTTGATTTGATTCATGTTGACTTGTGGGGAACCTATAGAAAGCCTACATATGATAAGAAATACTACTTTGTCACTATTGTTGATGACTACAACAAATATACATGGATTTGTTTGTTACATTCTAAATGTGAGGTTACTAGTGTCTTGAAGAATTTCCTTTGTATGATTAAAACTCAATTTAGTGTCTATGTGAAATCCTTAAGGTCTGACAATGGAACTGAATTCTTCAATACTCATTACATACAATTATTGGCCTCACATGGCATAATTCACCAAAGCAGTTGTCCCTACACTCCTCAGCAGAATGGTATAGTGGAAAGAAAACATAGACACATTTTAGAAAAGACTAGAGCCCTTAAATTCCACAGTGGTGCCCCTATCAGTTTTTGGGGTGATTGTGTTAGAACCTCAGTGTACTTGATCAATAAATTGCCTTCTCTAGTTTTGAATGGGAAGACACCTTATGAAATTTTGTATGGAAAGATACATATCCTTGATCACTTAAAGGTGTTTGGTTGTTTATGTTATGCTAGTAAATTACCTAGAAGTGACAAGTTTGCTGCAAGGGAAAAGAAGGTTGTTTTGGTTGGCTATTCTGAAACTCAAAAGGGCTACAAATTATATGACCCGGAGGATAAGATCTTCTTTGTCAATAGGGATGTTGATTTCAGAGAATCTATTTTTCCTTTTAAGATAGATGCCACATCAGATTTGGACATGTTCAGTATCACTCGTATAGATCATTTCATCCCTGCTAATGCTCCTAGCTCATTAGATGTTATAGAGCAACCTCAGCCTTTGCCTGACTTGGTTGAAAACATGCAAGATGACACCTTGCCAAATCCTACTTTACTTCATGATGAGGTGCAGGATACTACTCTGGTTTAAGAAGAAGTACATGGTCCTCTTCTAGTAGATATAGAAGTGCAGGATGCTACTGTCATTGACTCCACCTTTGTTGCTCCTGATCACAGCAGACCAGTTAGGGAAACTAGGCCTCCAATATGGCTTAGTGATTATGTTTCTACTAGTAAGCCTAAATGGACCTGCTCCTACCCCATTTCTCAACATGTTTCTTATGATCATTTATC